TCATAGCGAGTAACATATTTAAGAATTAACAAAGAACATATTAATCTCTAGAAACATTAATCAACTAAAATACTCATGATAACTCCACTCATATCCAACGTCATTCCACAATCACATCAATCAATAATGTCAACCATCACATCATCAATAACACATACAACAAGTCGAAATGCAAGGCTAGAGCAACACAATTCAGTTGAAGACTACATCTTTGGAAAAGGGGATTTTGGACCGCACAACGGACCAAGGCTCCAAAGGGGATTCCGAACCATCACTCAACGGAATACAAACAGAACTCAGTTCCAATCCACCCAACCGAATTGAACGGAAGTCCAAGAAACATAACAACGGCTCGAAGGAACAAGACATGATTCAAGTTACCCAATTCACGAAACTCAACGAAACGAAGCAATATTTGAGTAAAATCCACATCACAATGGGTCATCGGTCATTTACTAGACCTCACATCTCCCAAGCAATTCAATATGCATTACAATCATGTGTCATAACCATTTCCAATACCCAAGTTACATCACATTTCACTTCATCCTACTAATCACTATACTTCCAACATTATATCTCAATACATAGCTTGTAACATATCAGGTAATCACGAAGTACAATATTAACATTTAATTACGTTAATCAATCAATGAGATAACATATCATTTCACGAATTTAATTAAAGAACTCTACATAATTCCCAATTTGGGTTAAGAATAATAACATGGTAATTCTAATTTATTTTCACAATATCTATTGTGGGTAATTCCCATCTACTCGAATTTAGGATTCTAAATCACCTTACGGAATGAACAAGAGCAAGGATTCCGGACCACTCAACGGAATCCAACAACATTGGGTTCCGGACCACTCAACGGAACCAAAATATCAAGCGGTTTCTCATAATCCACCCAAACCTGTCATATGTAAAGTCAATGCCCATATTCTGGAATTGGTGCACTGGTAATTCAGGCACTCAGATAAGCTGAGAGACTCGGGTGAGGGACAATAAAATAAGCATGTGATACAATAATAAAACCAGCCATCAATCATAATTTATAAACCTTGAATATAAATCTTTCATAGGAAATCAATACCAAACTTTTGAAAACTCCGAGGGAGGCACCCAGACATCCAAAAGTTCATTTTAAACGACCCTAACATCTCACACCCATATTCACATACACACAATGAAAGTAGAATTAGGCGACACTGTTCACCCAAAACCTACACTTTGCAACCATCTCAAACTAAACTCCAAGAACTAAGGTGGATGCAATCCCGGACCATCACTCAACGGGATCGCGGAGTAAGAGGGATTCCGGACCATCACTCAACGGAACCCAAACCAAGATACGATTCCGGATCGTCACTCAACGGAATCGCGGAGTGGAGTAGGAAAGATTCCGGACCATCACTCAACGGAATCCAAACCAGGATACGATTTCGGACCATCACTCAACGAAATCGCGGAGTAGAATGTGTAACACCAATCGATAAAACAAGACATGGATCAAGTTACTCAAGGTACAAAGACTCAATGAAACGAGAATGAATAATGACACGAGGGTTGAAACATGTTTCGAAGCAACAAACCCCATAACAATGGATTAAAGGTCCACTACTAGCTCTCGCATTTCATCACATCAATCCAATCATACAGTACAAACCATATTTCCAATCCACAAGTCAAATCATACTTACTGAAAATAGATCACTGGCCACAAATAAAATAACACTTCAATAGAATTCACATTTAATTAACATGGGTCTATGGCGTATGTATATATAAAATTCACATTTCAATATGCAATTCGAATCACTTTTCCACAATATTACCCATCCATAATCAAACCACATTTAATAAAATAGATCGATGGCCAATTATAAAAGAAATCACATTTTAATAGCTTAGTTTGGTTAGTAATGTGTGCTACTTGTATTTATACTCTTGATTGTACTTTTGTGTTCCGATTAGGCTCTTCAAAGGAACAAAATTAATATTATCTAAAGAAAGTAAACTGATTATGGAATCTACCATTCAAATAATATCACTCAATTAGTAGTAAAGAAGATTAGAAGGGAAACTGGAAAAGAAAATAGGTGTGGCAAAAAAAAGTACTCTACTTCTCCACAAAATCTGCAGAAATAGCACTATTAGACCAAGTTTAGGCTCTCTTTGGGACATTCCAAACTAAACCAAATCATGTGATATTATATGGGTTTTGAAGCTTGTGTTCTGTACTTTAAAAGCATACAAAGTTTGTAGAAAACGAAGCTCTAAATTGGAAGTTACGCCAAAAGGAAAAACGGAGTCTTGAAACTGGAAACCCAATTTTCTGCTGCTGTTTGGCAGCCCGCGACCCAAACTTAAAGAAGGTTTTGATCACCCAAAACTCAACGAACTTGAGTGAAAACAATTGGGTTACGATCATGAGCATATGTACTTTCAACACACTAAAAATTTTCTCCAAAGGAGCACATAAAGGCCTAGAAATTAAGAGCCAAAGAAGGCTACTCGAAACTTGAGTTTTCTTTGCAAAGAAATCAATTTTCTGCAACTTACGTAACAACCCACTTCCAATTCATATAACACATTCCACAATACTTCCCGGTAGTCCAGAAGTCATGTATACAACATCCAAAACTAACATGACTCCAAATTAACAAGAAATTGACCTTTGAACCAAACCCTTGATCAAGAAATTTGATCTACACACCCAACAATTGAATATTTGGAAACCAAGCTGGACATAGGTTCACATGGTCACTAGAAGGTATTTAAAATCTAGACAACACTCGGGAACGATCCCACGCAATGCCACACGCGGTGGAAGCCAAGATGGAGGGTTTACAAACCCCGAATTTCAACCTTAACTAGAGGAGCTCAAATTTACGTGGTAGCTAGAGCTCAACAAGGGAAACACTTTTCACAACTAGGCCGGCGATAAATTCTAACCGGAAACAGTCCAATTCACTGGAGAAAACCGGATTTCTAGGTGTTCTAAACACCCAACTCTAAAATGAATACGAAAGCACAAACTAAGCATACCCACTTGAAGATTATGAAGAGTAGATGAAGTTTCATACCTCACTCGAAGGAAATCGTTGCCGGAATCGCCGGAAAGATGATAAATCCGCCGGCAAGGTCATGGACTTTGCGACCTCGAACTGCACGGATGGAAGAAGAAATGGGAAAATATAAAATCACAGAGATGTAGAGCTCGTCAAGAGCTTTCCAGGGACACCAAGATCATCCAAAATGGAGCTCGGATGAAAAAGATACAAGCGGGTCAAGTTTGGTGGGTTTATGGGTCAAATTTCCCCCTAAAACGGTTTTGTGCCGTTTCCCCTCCCATTTTCTGAAATCCCCCCAATTTATAGCATTTTGGTAATATAACCAAAATGCCACCAACTTCAAACGACTCTAACTTCTCCGTTCAGACTCAGAAATAAGATCTGTTTGCGCCTACGCGCTCATGGAATCGAACTCTACCTAACCAATTCAAGAGTTGACCGAAAAGGTCGAGAAAATTTGAAATGACTAAAGTACCCCCTCACTTCGTTTTCTTAAATTTGGAGAAATAAAGAACTAGTTCCAATCAAATCTTCGAAATACGTCAAGAATAAAATAAAATAATAATTTTGGGGACGGGATACCACAATACTATTGGTAATGGTTTTGAATACCATTATTGTACCGAAAATTTATGGTACGGTACAAATACCGTACCATTACCAATGGTTCAAATTTTTTGGCACAACTTTGGTATGGTACTGTTGGTATGGAAATTTGGCAAAAAATTCCACCCCTAGTGGTAAGTGGTCGTGGTCACTTTGTTCTTCAACAATAAAATGTGTTTAGAAGGATAAATAATGTCATTTAAAAAAAATAATTAATAAGTGTATTAAAAAATTAAACATACTCATTAAGGGGTCAACTTCGTTTTTTATTAAAGCAGCTTTTAAATGCAACCTACATCGTACTTTAAAAGTTGTTATCTTGAAGTTATTGCTTTTAAAATAAGCGGGATATTTTATTTTTACCAATCACTATTTTACTGCTTACTCTAAACTGAAACAAATTTTGGTAAAAAAACAATACCAAATTGGGCCTAAGTGATAAAATTTAAGTTCTATTGAGTTAAGTTGGATCGAGTTTGAGTTTCATAAGATGTTTACCGCAAATAAGCTTTAATTTTAGGGAACTTTAACGAAAAGCTCCCGGTACTGTTCACTTTAACGAAAAACCATATTTTTACACTAAAAAATCAATCATGGTACTATTCACTTGACCCTTTATTTTGTCCTTATCGTTAAAACTTAAAGTTTTTAAGCCATTTTCATTATTTTTTCCTTAATTTTATTGGTCTCATAGTGAATATAATGATTTTTAAGTCTTAAGTTGAATGTAGTATGGTAACAATGTCGATTTGTGATGCAATTGGCTTTAGAGCATGTTAGATAAATTTTTAATCACACGTGGGATTGTTAGAAATATGGGCTAAAAGTCAAATCATATAATGAAGAATTTGACGGACAATCCACACGATTGATCTAATCAAAAAACAAGATTCGTGCTAAAGGTAGTTTAATTATAGTTATGTAACTAAATATTGAATTCCAAGGATAAGGAATATGAGAAGAAGCAATCTAAAGAACTTGAATTCAAGAAAATCAATATACGAGTACTCACAAAAGAAGAGATTGAAAAGGGTAATAAATAAATGAGTGAAACAAAGGAAAGATAGTGTTGTTTTGACAAAATTAGATATGATCAAATTGAGCACAAAATTTAAAGAATTTTAAGGAAAAGATCACATTTATATGCAGAGCAAAACATGCAAGACGACATTGATCAATTTTGAACGATAATGACCAAAATGATGACAAAAAGTGTAATCTTGGACCATAAATTAGTGAAAAAAAGTTATGGGCCAGTGCAAAAGCAATCTAGGCCCAATTAATCTTTAAATTAATTTCATAGGATAAGACCCTTTCGGCTCCCTCTTGCACACAATGTTTCAATAACACACAGAAGAATGACAGAAGCCCTAATTTTCCCATGTCTGTCTCTTTGGATACTCTCTTGACTAAATTTGGATTGGATTAGCCAAATTGTGCATCCTCACCCAGCCATGGAAGCCAAGTCAATGTTCCTTCACTCCAAAACAATCCCCTTCTGTTCCACCTTCACAGACAGACCCAATTTCTCTTTCAGGCATTTCAGCAAACACCTTTCGTGCAATCCAATAAACCACAGCCCTACCTTCCGCCATTGCCTTAAACCCCTCAAAACCCCAGCAAGTTTATGTCTTTCACAAAACCCATCATTCTTATCATCCCCAACAAGAACAGGAAGAAGCACCCATTTGTTAGCTCCACTCAAATGCTCATTTTCCAGCACCTCAAGCCACCCAGAATCTCAAACTCCATTGCTGAAGCTTTTCAGTAACCTCTCATTTGATTCATTGAAAACTACCCTTTTGAAATTAACCCCATTTGATGTGATTAAGTGGTCTGGGATTTTGTCAATTGCAATTGCAGCCACAAAAGGGACTCTGAATTTGCTATTGAGCCCCTTTTTCTGGATGTACTTCAGCTGGACTTGGATGTTTTGGCCTTGGTTTCTGGCTGTATTGGTTGCGGTTTACGGGTTATACTGCTTTAGGAAGCATTTGCGCGGTGAAGCAAATGTATTTGAGCAGCTTGCCATTGTTACTTCAGTGTTTTCTTGGCTCACACTTGTCCCACCTGCTCATTTCAATGGCTTCCTTGAAGGTTGGCCTTATGTATTCTTCTTTGTGTACCATTATTTCTTTTTCTTCAATGTTAGTGTGAGGAAACGGTTATATGGGGATTACTATGCCCGCCCACATGATCCCAAGTGGGATGTGAGCCCACCGAAATGGTTGCGCATTTTGTTCTGTCTTGGGGTCCTGGCTGGTCACTGGCTGGCTGCATTTGAAGGACCCGAGCTTCATCGCATTCCTGGCAAGTGGAGCAATGTTCCTATTTGGATTTTGATATTGGTGACTCTGCTAATGCAGTATAACTCAACATTGTATCTTGCAAAGTATTCAGAAAAGGTTGTGGTGCCAACTGCTGTTGTGCAGTTTGGGCCTTACCGGTGGGTGCGTCATCCAATTTATGCATCTACAATGCTTCTGTTTGCCACGTATTTCATTGCGCTTCGGGCACCTTTGAGCTTGCTATTCATTGTAGCGGTTTGTTCGTTGTACTATGATCAGAAGGCCAAAATGGAGGAGGCTTTGATGGTTGAGACTTTTGGGGACAGGTATACGGATTATGCAAGTAAAGTTAGGTACAAGTTCATTCCTTTTATCTATTAGTTGTTCACAAGGTATGCAGTTATTAATTTTGTATTATGGAGGATATGATGTATTGTACTAAGTACTTGAGTTTTGAAATCAATATGAGAATGTTAGACTACATAGACAAGTTGAGCATTTATATTTGCTGATTAGGTTATCTTTCATGTTGGTTTTTTTGAGGTCCCTTTTTATTGGTTACCTTGTTACATTTGTTTTATGTCTTCTCTTGGAAAAAAAAAAAAAAAAGTGTTAATTAGTTTCCCCATGGGATAGTGAACATGGAATTATGGATTAATACAGACCCATACCTGAATGGTAAAACGTTTGAGTCAATCTGAGTTCCTTGAGTCATGTACCGAGGCCGTTAAGGGAGCTTGGAAGCGAGTACCAGACCAGAGAAGTATCTAATATTCCAGATAAAGGTGTGAGAAGAAATATGATAGGTTCACATTTGACAGGTAGTTTCATTGAGAAAAAGTGTGAATTGGTTATCCCTACATGGAACTGAAAATAGAATTGTTGATTATTATATTCATATGCATCAATAGAATGGAAACCTAAAAAGTTTTAGCTTTTAGGTCAAGTTGAGTTCCACATGTATGATAAGAATATTTGGTTCTTGACCCCAATTTCTCCAAATCCTAGCACCTTGTGTTCACTTGTCTGAGTGGTTTTTTTTATATAGGCTTTAATCGTGAGGTTTTGTTTCACCATGATTTGTTGGAACACCATGCATGCTAGGATATATAAAGCAGCACCTCTTTGTTCTCTAGTCTTTGTTAATCTCAAGTTATTCGTTGTTATTCGTAAAGATCACTTGATTGAAGTTTTCACATTTACTTTTAGATGACTTCGTGTAAGTATGAAAGATTTGTGTGTGCTGAAGTAATGATATAGAGACACGATCAACAAGGTGTTACAAACTTCGATCACTTTGCTCAGCCTGAATCCTGGTTTTGGCATTCTCCATCAAGCACGTTGGCATGATTTGACCGCAATGAGTCATGCTGTATTCAGATGGCCTGGGGATAATCTATACTGAGTTGGTCTTGGGCTTGTTGCTGACCCAACTGAAACTGGTAGTTGATGTTACGAGTCAAAGTTAACAACTGATAAAAGCTCTAAAGTTATGTTACCACTTTAGTTAATTGAAAATTGCAGATAACGCTTCCTGAAAAGTTAGGTCAGATGAAGTTGAAACTAATCTGAGCATTTTGCAAGAGTGTTAAAAATGTACCAAGCTGAAGAAGTATGTTAAACTAAAGGTCATTAGAAGTGAAGTGAAAACTACAAAAAAATCATTAGCAGGTGGGCACATAAAGAAAGGTTGTCGTGAAAATTACTTTGAAGATTAATTCAGTTTTAACGTGCATGAGGGAAGGCCAACTATGCTCTTGAGATAGTTCCTTTTTCCAGGTTTAAGCCATAACTCTAAGAAAGAAAGCATTTAGATTCTGGGTAGATTAAGTCTGACTCAATCATGTGTTTTGTTTATTTATTCTTTTTTTTTTTTTAACCTGGTGTTACCTTTTCTATTTGTATTTCTCAGTAATGGAATCAAGAAATATCCGTCAATGCTTTTTGTTTCTGTGCTGAGGCATATGAACTTACCGAGTTTTGTATCCGTATTTTGTTATCCCTAAACCACAATCTTGTTAATTAAGTGGGTTTACTGCTTTGTTTGAGATGCATGTAACTAGCTGGTCTCTTGATCTTGACACATCCTCATCTTCTTGCTTGAATTGGCATGTTTCATTCCTTCCAAATGTTGTATACTTACTAGTATAATTAGATAAGCATAGCAAGAATGTTATCTTAGATCGAAGTGAAGCATTATCTGTGGCTCTTATTACTAGGAATGTCTGTGTTTCCAAGGAATAGTAAACTATTTGAAGAATTTTACCTTAGTATTTCATTAGATCAAGAGTTGCTGAACTTTAGGAGCATTATCCTGCTATAATTTAGAAAACCCCAACCTCTCCAGGAGGCATTGACAACGTGTGGCCTTGCTTTCTGGAAGAGCACGTACGCAAGCCAATTTTGTAGCATTCCCTCTGGTGCATCGAACTTAGAATGTTTGACAAGGTCTATTTACTGGCACGTGAAACTCCGCGTCATGAACACAAGGGTCTCCTCATCAGATGTGAGATCTATCAACTTATATTTGATTTGCGCCACAGAGTTTCGCAGGAGCACTGGGAAACTGCCGAGTGTCTAGCATTTTATCTCTTTGAAAAATTAGTGGGGTCTTTTTCTTCATCAGCAGTCAAACAGATCGCTATCGTTTATGTCTTTTCTGTTTTTTACAATTTCATGCACTTGAGAACAGAGATTGTTTGGACATTTTCAAACTCACATGTTTTTCATCTACGATGTTCGGTTTCCTCTTTTCTTTCTTCCACTGTTTTTTCTTCGTGTAAGTGTATGTTTGTGGGGGGCCGGTTAGCACGAGTAAAGTTTGCTCGTGTTTCATGCTGTGAATTTTACTTGTGCCATTTCCTTATCCATTTAGATTAAGAACCTGTTTCCTCTCTCCCAAGCTGTATGTGATCGGGGAGTTTGTTTCTCGTGTTACACCGATTTTACTTGTTATTTATCGCATCAGTTCTGGTTTTCGACTATGGTTTCAGAAACTTCAGACAATTTCATGGTTAGGATATGGAAACAAAACTCACTCACTTTTGTTCATACCTGAAAGGTCGTGTACCAGATTAGGATCTGCCCGTTGTGTTCGTATTTTAGATATATTTTCTGTCGGAAATCGACATGCTGCGGCCTGTGTACAAGCTTTGCCTTTGCAAAACTTTAAGTGAAAGCCTGATGCAGTCATAAAATATCCCGTTACACGCGTGCATTAAGCATCTTTGATCGTAGTAAGTGTGTTGTTCGCGTGTCCTCTTCATGTTTTGGGGTGATTTGATTTGTTTTAAACTTTATGGAGGGATTTTACGAGATAAAAGCATCTCCAGCAACGCTAGTTAAATTTTGCGTCAAATGATACAAAAGTTATTTACAAGTAATACAAAAGTTAAATACAACTAACTAATTTAACGGTACCACTCCAACAATGCTCTCTAATTAAAATTACCAACACCATTGTCACTGTCACCATTCCATCACGACCACCACCACCACCACCACCTTCCTATTAAGGTCGTTGTCATTGCTCCACCACCACCACCACCTTCCTATTAGCATCGCTGTCATTGCCACATAACTACGTGTCAAAACTACTCACCACTCCCACCGGTGCCATCACATTCATTGTCACCATTACTACCGCTTACTATCGCCATCTTTATCGTTGGTCATCCGAACATACAAGTTAGAAATTGCACAACTGAATCTCATTGCTTGACGTGGAAAATGTTACAGTCAGTTACAAGTTTAAATGGATTAAGAGCCACCCACTTTTGTGGGGTGGCTTTCGCTTGTGCGTAATTATCAGATCCAACACACCGTATTGTTTCATCGTTAACTAAATTGAATTTCATGTAAAAATTGAGAGACATATCTTATTTAATGTCCCTAAACCTCAATAGTTATACCAATTGAACAAACATGACTAATTTGTAGTTGCATTGTCTTTATAGGTTAGTAAAAACAGTCATCTGTCTCTAATTAAGTAAATAGATGTTTTTCTTGTAGTGCAGAAAGATGTTTTCTAAATATGATTGTTTTAATCTTAACTATATAAAATGGATAATGCTATGATCAGTTGTCCACGCACTTTTCGCAGGGTGACTCACGATAGCCATGCTCATGTGTAAGCATCGGATCCGAAACATCGCATTGTTCCGTCGTCTACATGTTTGGCATCACAAACATTGTAACCTATTTGATGTGATCAATTTGGAGGGATTATTGGTCAAATTTGTATCTTTTTGGCACAAATTTATTGTGTGCACTCGAAAGGCTCAGCAAGCCAAGACAACTGGAATCATCAATTAAACATCCCTCCCAATCATTTTCTTGGACAAATACCATCCCTCTCAAGCTCTAGTTTTCCTCAAGTTATAACATTTTGGCCTTATATTTGACCAAGTTTCCTCCTCCCAGCACACCGGTAGTTCAACTGGAATTACTTAGTCTTCCACGTAGGCTTCAATGTTATGTGCTGAGACACTGCCCGACGTGGAATTCTAGCGTGCACACCCTCCATATCCATGCACATTTTGTTAAATGTCCCACATCGGTGGGGATGAAGTCCCATAATGGGTTTAAATAGGATTACCCTACTCTAATTAATATCGAGATTTTTTGTGGTAAAACCCCACACCTAACAGATTTGGCAGGTAGCAAAGTTGGAAACAGTATCGGTGTCGTTAGAGTAGGGCGAGCCCGGCGATCCAAAATCCCAACAGGGTATCAAAGCCCACAGTTTCGGGCCCGCTCAAGCCAATGAGCTTGTGTGCAAACCAATGAGCTTGTCACCCATAAGGAAACAAGTTTGAACTCTTAATATAGAGACGACACGTTGAGTTCCATTAAAAACAAGTGGGCCCAACATGAGCCGACCTTTGAGTTTCAATTACCAATGTGGATCTCTACGTGTAAACTACTAAATAAGATTACACGTGAGGGGGAGTGTTAAATGTCCCACAATGGAAAATCTCACACCTGACGGATTGACCAGGGGTTTAAACAGTATCGGTATTATTAAAATAGGACGGGTCAGTTGGTTCGTGACTGTGTTAGGGTTAAATAACACATGGGCCAGACCTCCAGCTTGGCCTAGTTGGCTTCAGATTCACAGGAAAAATCAATGATAACTGAAAGTTACTTCATCCACAATCCAAAACCACACACATCTGATCTTCCCTCTCATCCTTTTGTTATTCACACGTTCAACAACATATCTTACTATCCATCTCCTTTGTTTTTTCATCGAGAATTGCCGTCCATGAGAAATGTTGTGCCGCTAAACCAAATAATAATGCACACATCTTAATTGCGCTTTGAAATTTTCTTATGCACAGAAACACATTTCTATCACACATTTAGATTCACAGTTCGACACTGACAGATCATGATCTTATGCTAGCCAGCAAACCAGACAAATCCACGTACCCAAGTGAAGTGAGGTAGAAGAAACATAGGATTCCCAACGACAGATTTGAAAAAGGA